GGTTAATTACTAACGAATATAAAAGAGATAATAACTACATATATATATAATATAAGAAATATACACACACACACACATATATATATACAAATACACATACATATCTACATTCATAAAAACAAATACTTATACATACATAAGTACTTATACAATATCACATATAACAAAAAAAAAGAAAAGCATTCAAATCCTACCTTAACACGAAGTAGCTGTCTAAATTACGATACCATAAATTCTAGGACCATTTTCTTAAAGCTGTTTATGGTTTTCGCTCGCCTTATGTTTATCGGCAGTGCATTCCACAAGCGTACAGCTTGAACAGTAAAAGACTGGTCGTAAAATTTTGTAGAATGCAGAGGCATCTCAAGCCTCAAATCTTCGGATGACCTCAGACACTTTTCATGTGTGTCATGAAGGAACTTGAACCGTTCATTGAGGTAAAAGGGGGCTCTGGGATTGAACAAGATGTTATAGAGAAAAATGAGTATATGAGTATTCCGGCGAGAGCGAATCGGAAGCCACTTGAGCTTTAGACGGAATTCAGAAACGTGATCATATTTTCTTAGTCCAAATACAAATCGTATACAGAAATTTTGAAGTCGCTCAAGCTTATCAAGTTGGGCTTCAGTGAGATTCAGATAGCTGACATCGGCATAGTCGAGAATTGGGAGGAGAAGTGCTTGTGCAAGTGCAGCCCTAGTTGCAGTCGGTAGGAAGTTACGTAGTCTTCGCATGGACCCGGCAGAAGCAAATATCTTACGACTAACTTCTTGTAAATGTGGGCCCCAAGTTAAACTATTATCTATGCTAATTCCTAAATTTTTAACACTAGTACTGATCTCAAGTGTAGTGCCTTCGAATTCAATTTGCGGCATTTGTGTCCAGCTAATTCTTGAGACCAGCCCAGGACTGCCAATCACACATACCTGAGTCTTTTTAGGATTGACCTTGAGTCCATAATTATGACTCCATTCGCCGATGCGTGCCAACTATATTGTTTTCATTTCGAAAAAAAATGCTTCGCTAACATGATGAAAATCTGAATTATTCAATTGCAAATTTTATTTACAAGCCCTTAATTTTGTAGAATATTGCACTTCATACTTAAACAAATCTATTATAATTATTATTGCGCTGAATATTTCTACAATGGTAAGAATGTATATCTTCATTTTTTTTTCATTCATCAACTTTTAAAAATTTAATTGTAGATAAATCTTTGAAAATTAAATTATTTTCTATTATATAAAATAACCTATTAAAAAAATGATTTACTATGTTAACATGATAATTTTCTCCTAAATCGTGTGCTTCTCATTAAATTTTCACAAAATAGATATTTAACAAGGATTTTTCAGTGTTATTAGTACGTGGAAGGTATGCCAAATTCCATTTTTCCATTTCGCAATATTTTTTCTGTTAAGCACATGAGTTTGATACTATGGATATTTGGAATAAACCTCACAAATTACTTTTTTTTAAATAAAGTACTATTTTTTAATATAAAATATGCAAAACTTAGAAATATAATGGTTATAGTTATAGCTACGCACGCAATGTAAAAGACTAGCAGAGTTCACAAAATGAATTTTTTTTTTTTAATAAAGCCGACTGGGAATACGCGTCATTCGTTAATAGTATATACTTGTTTACCCCTTCAACTGAGCGAAAAGCGTATGTTTAGGGTTCATTAACATGAAATTTCTCATTTTTCTTCAAAATATACGTCGTAGATAATATTAGGTCCTTACATATGAAATTGGCGTTTTGTACGGGTGGAATATAAAGTCATTTTTTTTTTTGTAAAATATATTTAATTAATCAAAGTATGCACCGTTGTTATCTATGCACTTTTGCCATCTCATAGTTAGTTCATTGATCCCTTTACTAAAAAAAACCATGGGTCGAGAATCAATAAACTCTTTGTAAGCGGTTTGGACTGCCGCATCGGAGTTGAATTTTTTTTTTTGGAAGAAGTTGTCCTAATTCCGGAAAAAATAGTAATCTGTTGGAGCAAGGTCCGGGGAGTACGGTGGATGTCGTATACATTCCAATTGTAGCTCATCTAACTTAGTGGTTGTTTGTTGTGCAGTGTGTGGTCTTGCGTTGTCGTGAAGCAGCAGTGGCCTAGAGCGATTGACCAATCTTGGTTGTTTAGCAGCTAGTTCTTCCTTCATCTTTTGCAGTTGCTGACAATAGATATCTGCCGTAATCGTTTGGCAAGCTTTTAGAAAGCTGTAGTGAACGACACCGGCGCTAGTCCACCAAACACTCACAAGTAACTTTTTCTGAGTAAATTTTCGTTTAGGGCAGGATTTGGGTGGGTCTCCAGGGTTCAGCCATTGCGACGAGCGCTTCCGATTATCGTACAGTATCCACTTTCCATCACAAGTAATGATTTGATTTAAAATCTCTTCATTATTGTGTCGGTTGAGCAAAGTAACACAGCAGTCGATGTGTATTTGCAAGTTCGATTCACTCAATTCATGAGGTACCCATCGTTCAAGTTTTTTTTCTTTCCCGATTTGCTTTAAGTGGATTAATACTGTTTTATCACTTACCCCGAAGCCTGCAGCTATCAATGAAGAGCTTTGTGATAGATCCGCTTCCGCTTCCGCAGTACGACAAAACGCTAATTTCATAGGTAAGGACCCAATATTCATGTAAAATATTTTTATCGTAGAGATCATTCACTATCATAATTTATAAGTGTGTTAGCATACAACGATAACTTTATTGAAAAATATTGTTTACGGCTTTACTCAAAATAATAAAAAAAACATCGTAAATCTGTATAACATTGCCAAATTTATACAGAATAACTTTCTTGTTTGTAAAAACAAATAACTTCAACTACAAAAACAACAACCATTAAAAGTGATGAATTCATTATAAAATGTGAGCTCTTATTACATTATACTTATTTATTACATATCTGTTATTTTTTTCTTATGTAAGTGAAGGGATAATTTTTAATTGATTTGTTGTGATTCACCTTTACTCAATCTAAATGAAATAGTATTAGTAATTCTCGTCTTCCGTTCGCGTTCTTCTTTTACTGTTTATCTGATTTGTTTTTACTATGGTTTTTGTCGTGATTTAATTTAATTCTTATTTATCTATTAATGTATTTTAATTACTTAAGACTGATTTCATTAATTTATTTTAAAACATAATTTGATTGATGATTGTTTATTTAGTTTTATTGAAAAATAGTAATACTACAAAAATACGTACCTATGCTGAATTGGAGTAACAGTACAGGATATGGTACCAGATAAAACAAGTTGTATTAAACTGCATCTTTCATAGGGCTGAACACTGGCCCCCAAAATACAGGCACTCGCTTAGTTTGGGGGAGCAGCATCAGTACATCTAAGTCAAAGAAAACAACAATGTTCTACATGGTATAAAAAATTTAAATGTGTAACGTGTTTTCTATTATCTGAGAAAATAAATATATTATATATTATTTTAATCAAAATAGCATAACTTATGAAAATTTTTGAATGTGTTTAAATTGTGTCTTTTCAGTTGCAGGTCTCCATGGGCCCGCCGTACTTACCATCAGCTCACCCGTCTACTCGTATGCAATAGCAAACTTTTTTATGGTATAGGGTACCAAAACCTTGCTATTATATTAATGTAATAGTTAACACTATATTGCTCATAAAGCACATAAAATTCTGGAGTGAAGAACAGAGCGTGGGTAGGCCGAGGTACAGGGTGGTCCGAGGACCTGGTGAAGGTCGCGGAAAGCCGTTGGATGCGGGCAGATCCTTGCGGGAGCCCTATGTCCTGAAGTGGATGTCTTTCGGCTGAGATGAGTTAACACTAGTGTAATAGCAAAGCTTTTCATGATACCTACTACACTAGTGTCCTGTACGAAGGTTTCTACATTCGACCTTTTCAGAGTGACTTTAACGAAATGACGTCATCTGAAAGATGCAAAAACATGCATCACTTATTAGTCCATTTAACAATAGAATAAATATAATTATTTATTTAATAAAATAATGAAACATTTTGTAGATAAAAGTAAATCAATAGAACTGATTATTTCGACAGCTGTAGTCTGTTGACACTTTAACCGTCAAGGACGCGGTAATTGTAAACAAATATTGTATTAGTTGAGCTCTGATATTTGTACAAATGTATAAGTCCGTAGTACTTGCCCCTTTACAACATAAAGGAACATAAACATTTTATGTGGTAGTTACATTAAAATAACTTAAAAGAAACGCAGAATATACATATGCTATATTTAACATAAAGATTGGGTCGCAAAGAGTTAGCTATTTCAAACGTTACCTCCTGATATCGTCAATAAGATTGAATCGTTTACAGGATATTAACTAATTTATATCAAGGAGCGACAGTGACAGTTTTTATCTAAAAGCAGATCAAATACAATTTTAGGCAAGGGTTGCAGTTGTGGATCGAACTCGGATTGTGTTCCATAGGCAAGTAGCGTCCAGCTTTGAACACAGTCAAACAAGCTTTCCTTATCCACTTATCACGATGTACTCCTTTTTTTATGTGGTCATTAGATTTCTGTTTTAAAAATATATGTAAGATCTACAGTGAGTTAGGCAGTAGTTAGCAGTTATTTAGGTAGATGTATGTCCTGGTAGTTCACCTATTTAAATGATTCTTCATGGTTTGTTTTAACTTTTAACACTATTTCTCTTTAATACATTGTAGGAGGTATACACAACTACATACACGTTTATACTATATAATATTCCAAAATTTTGAACAGAAAACAATATTCTTGAAATTGTTTTTTTTTTAATACGATGTAAATCGATTCCCTTTGCCATAGAGTTCCATTACAACAGTAAGATTTAAAAAAATATAGATGATTTTTATTAATAAAGACATACACATTTAACGTTACTTTTATAAGTACTCTTATTTCGCACAAGAGATATTATAGTGATACTATTTAATTGATGCCAAAGTTAGACCACGGAGAGGAATAAGGTAGTCCCAGGTTATCAGGAGAGGTGACAGGTGAAGCGGCCGGTACTGTTGGAGTACACACTTGTTGAGCGGCGCCGTTCGCGCCTAATAGCAAAGTTATGGACGGGGGCACGCGTCTGCCAGACGCCGGGCTTCCTTGCTCCGACTTGATGGTGTGCGCCGGGTCGCCGGTCACACCGCAGCGCGGGCAGCGAAACGCATGCAACACCGGGCACAACACGCGCGTCTTTCATCGCATGGGACGAAAAACATTCCTCGTTCTCCTCATTATTCTTACAAAATGCACACTCATTAGGTAAAGCACGACGCATTCGTCTATCAGTGCGGGCCTTAGCGACCTCTTGCAACAACTCGTACAATAAGCTTGGACGAATTGAAGGCAGTACAGACAATTGCTCTCGCGTTAGCATAGACACGTAGTTATTCGCTGATGATAAACTTTTCACCAAGAAGCCAAATGTATATATGTACGAAAACTCTGCATGTTCATATTTTCTGACCATACTTTTCAGATCGATTATATCCTGTAAAATAATTATTTATGCTGTTATTATCATTGTAAACACCGGATCCATTTAAAGGAATGTTTATTAACAATTTCTCCATTTTAGCGACAGAGGGAGCAGAATGAGCAACCCTCGGCTCCTGCTGACTAATCATGTTTAACAGTTCGTTGCCCCTCAGTCCTGACATCATCGGGGCCATTGAGGACAATACTCCGTTCTGAGTGTTACCCGCATTTTTCGTATCGGCAAACGCGTAGCTGTCTGTTATTGTCGTGCCGTTAGGTTCACCGGCTAAGATAAAAATAGGTTTCTGTTCCTCCGCAGCAGAGGTGGCTGATTAGTATCAATTTCCTTTAACTCAAAACAAGCTATTTCCATTAGAAAATAAAATATGCTTCTCGTTAGACGACGATAATAGAAATTGCCTATAAAAGAAAGCGCCTATAAAAGAGAGCGCCTATAAAAGAAAGCGCCTATAAAAATTAAGCATGCCTAAGAAACGCCTCAGTTGTCTGACTGTCTTAGGTACTGGAAAGTCTGTAATTGCCTGACTTCCCTTCAGGGGCTTGGTGCCCGCTGCCACAGTGTGGTATTCTAAAAAATTTAAATCGCTGGCTCCAAAAATGCACTTTGAAGTGTTGATCAGGATGCTTTATTCCTTCATGCGGTTGAAAAGCTGCTGTAGGTGACGTTAATGCTGTTCCTCATCCTGAAGCAGAAGTAAAGAAAATCATCACAATAGGGATAAACAAAATCAAGTCCTCTAGTCAATTCATCGACGAATCTCTGGACTGACCTGCGTTCTTCAGCACAAAGGTCATACAGGAGAATTCGTACAAGCCAAAAGGCATGGTGATGGCCGTCTTCTGAACATTTTCTTCGAAGACTGGTTGAAAGCCTTCACTAGATCTATAGTACTGAAGACTTTGCAGTCCGCTATGCTATGGGCAAAGTTATGAATGTGAATAATAGAATACCGGTCAGGGATGTTTTGGGAATTGAGCATGCGGTAGTCACCACAGGGATGCCAGCTGTTGTCCTTTTTAGGTGCTAGGTGTAAGGGAGAAGCCCACGCGCTTTCTGAAGGACGCGCTGTAACGTTGCTAAACATGAGTTCAAATGCTCGTCTAGCAATTTTAAGTTTATCAGGAGCCAGACTGCAAGGAGTGCAAGATACAGGAGGACCGGGTGTGGGACGGATGTGATGTACTGTATTGTTTTAAGGGACCCACGGAGTGCCTAAGGACCGTATAATTTCAGGGTACTTAACCAACAGCACATAATACCTGGTGTTGTCTGTTGCTACCTTAATAGAACATACGTTAGTTTGAGCTGCAGAAGCACCAGAATATAGTGTAGTTGTATTATCAATAAGCTTTTTGTTTCGCACATCAACAACAAGATTATAAAAGCTTAAAAAGTCTACACCAATTATAGCTTTAGTTACATCGGCCACTGTGAAGCGTCAAGGAAATCTACGTTTTAAACCTCAATTTAAATTTAAATCTAAGCTACCAAAAGTGTCTATGGAAGAGCCATTAGCAGCACAAAGTGTAGTCTGTCTTCCTATGACGGCCCCGTAGTGCAGCACGCGAGTAGACACATAGGTCACTCAAAATGTCCACCAGGAATCGGGTATCATTAGTTCTGTCGTAAACGAAAAGGCGACCTGAAGTAACTGGGCAGTCGTCTGTCGCCATTAGCGACCGCCGTTGGCTTTTTCCGTCTTGTTGTAGTCACATGGCTTAACACAGTAGTGTGCTTGCGGTAGCCCGAGTTTGACCTGGACCTTCACGAGATGAAGTACATCGTCTGTGTGTTCTGGTCCGTCGATATCTATGTTCGGGGGGACGTGAACGCTCGTCTAGCTTTAAAGCAAGCTTTCCACCATTTGCCTGAGTTCAGCAATTTCATTGGAAACGCTGGTACTCGGTTCTGACCTGGATGAAGACTTTGCGACTTGACAGGGCACTGTGATCTTTTTTTTTTTTGGGAATAATCCCACCCACACGCCCACCACTGTAACTCCTGTACACCAGGATCCACAGCAGTGACCCACGAACACACCGAGTTATGACACTCGGGAAGTCCCAGGAAAAAATTAAACTGTCTTGGAACCCGCAACGAATTTAATCAGAAGAAAATTGGAGGAGTTGGAAATACAGTAAATCCACTTCCCTCCTTAGCAAAGCGGGAGACAAAATGAAGTAAAATGGGCATACACCCTTTTAAACAGGGAAGCACCACGGCCACAAATATTACGGGTCCTACGTGAGCTATGTTTGATTTCTATAATATGTATGGCAGAATCGCCTAAACGCACGGAAATTCACCCTAGTTGACACAAGATCCCCATAGTATACCGCCCCAGATGTCACCTGCAAGCTTTGCAGCATTATATCACGTTCATTATACAAAAGAGTTCGTAGTGAGAGTTAGGTGTTGAGCATTGACACAATGGTGACTCGACTAATTTAAATGAATAAAGCTTGCTCTTAAAGTTACCATGACCCGTAAGAAATTGAGCGACACAGTGATCCACCTCAAGCCATATCCTCGACAACCGTTCGCGAACAGATGGAAAGAATTGGTAAAGATGGCGCCCCTTGGATGATTCATCCCAGCGTTGTTGCCATTCGTCTATGAGGTCATTATAGACATCGGGCTGCTGTTAAAGCAATCTTGTAATTTTACCGCGATCCCGCGCGCCCAAAAAATCGCATTCCATGTTTTGTTGTCTTGAATAGTACATGGCTGCACGTCTCTGCACCTCGAGATCGACCGGAAGCACACCCGCCAACACCGGCAAAGCCTCTTTGCTAGCCGTCCTATATGCCTTACACAAGAATATCAGTGCAAGTCGTTGGCCTTGTAACAGTTTGCGACGGACAGCGCCTACGGTCGCCCTATCGGCTCATACAGGTGCACCATAGCACATAGAACCTAAATAAGTAGCTCCGTATATGATCTTTAATGTATTAAATGATAGACCCCATGTCGCAGTTGATATCCTTGTCAATGCACAGAAACTGTTTTTAGACTTTTCATTAACTATTTTAATATGTTCGATAAATGAAAAGTTTCTTTCTAAAACTAATCCTAGGTAACACACTGAGGTTTTATTTTTTACAGTAACATTGTCAAATCTAATGCTTGGCGGTGATTTGAGGTTACCTTTTAAAAGTAGCTGGAAGGTTTTGTTGGGTGCAAAAGTTAAGCGATTACGTTCACCCCATTGAGATATCAAGTTCAAACATCTATTGTCTGATCTCTCAAGTCCCGCCCTAGTATCAGATTCCACCAGTAATAAGCCGTCATCAGCATACGCGTTCAGAATACATCCGGATGGTATTGGTATCGCAAGAAAATCGTCGAAGCCGATATTCCACAAGTATGGACCTAGCACCGATCCCTGAGGATATCCCATTGTAAGTGCCTTCGACACAGAATAATGACCAAGTCTTAGTTTAGTTGTACCTTGTGAAAAGTACGAAGAAATAAGGGAATAAATATTTTTAAAGCACCCTCATGATTTTAATTTCAGCAACAGCATGGGCCACCATGCGTTGTCGAAGGCGCCAGATATATCTAAGAAAATAGCCCGCACTTATTGAAATTTTGACTCTGTGACAAACTTTCTAACCGATATAACAGCGTCAGTTGTCGATTTACCCAACGTAAATCCAAACTGGCAGAAGCCGGGGCACTATAAGACGTTCTAAAAGCTTTCCTAACGATGGTAACAATGTGATTGGTCGGTAGGATTTAGGATCATCCGGTGGCTTGTCGCCACTTTTTGGTATTATACGAATATTACCGCACCGCCATATACCAGGAAATATTCCTTCAGCAATGCAACGTTTGAGGACAGTGAAAATCGTGTCACCCGAAAGTTTACAAGCTTCTTTTATCATTTTGTTAGATATTTTATCATCGCCCGAAGCCTTGTTTAGCAGCAAGGATCGAATGATACCGAAAAATTCGTCTGAAGATGGTAAATCAGACATTGGAGACAGTGGTGGTTCGATGGCCCACTGCCTGATCTGTCGGTGATGATCAGTGTCGTTTTCCGGCCGATCGTCAGGTACAAGTGATTCTAAAAGATATTCTGCTATTTGTTCTACTCCTGTGGTATATCTGTTATTAATTTTGATGTTCTGTATGTATGCAAGGTCGATTGATCTATTTGCCTTAAATTCGTGATACAAAGGTGACTACATGCCCTCTCTATCGAGTTTATCAACAAGTTTATGAATTAAGTTTCCCTTGGATTTTTCCACAGCAGCTCTGTAGTGGGACCTGGCAACTCTAAGAGCAATGAGAGCATTATTGTACAAATCTCCTGTTACGTTATGTTTTTTAATAGTGTTAAACTTTCTACGAGCTTTCCGGTAGCTTCTACGTAGGTCGGCTAATCTATCATTCCACCAATCACATCTACGAGTGTTAGTGATAGGTCCGCGACCAATAGATACATCAGCGCAGTATATGAAAGTTTCTGATAGTATTTCTGCGCTTTCCTCAGCTGATAAACTACTGCGACCGAAGTCTTTGGTATGAGTTGCAAAGAGTGAACCAAACAAAGCCCAGTTCGCACCTTTAGTTATATATCTAAAATTATAGGGAGCCCTTTGTGGATCCTGTGCAACCCTTGGTATGAATTCGTACACGATCAAGCGGTGATCACTACAGGATGCGTCCGGAAGGACACGCCATCCGGATATCGAGACGTCGCCGCGCGTAAGCGTCACGTCAATAGAAGACTCACCCATTGGGTTGCAAAAAGTTGGTGGTGCATCGGGGGTATTGTGAATAGTAAGATTAATTTCCGCAATGAAATCTTCAACCGCACAACATCGAACCGTGTCGGTTGAACGCAACTTGCCATACCATAATGAAGATGA